AACAAATAAGTAGAGTGCATGAAGCCAAACAGTTAGTTGTGAGACAATCTGGAAGTGGTGTGAGGCAGGGAAGCTAGATGAATGGAAACGAAAGAACCAGAAAGGAAATCATGAGCATGTTGACACAATGCGGAAAATGGAATTAATGTCACAGAACAATATATATAGGAATTGGTATATGGGACCCTAGGGAGCTCTGTGGCCTATTGGTAAGGAGCTGTGGTGCAGTCTTGAAGGCAGGCAGTTCAAATCCATCAGCTGCTCTACAGGAGAAAGATGGGCAATCTACTCCTGTGCGATTAAACTGCCACTGAAAACCCTGGAGGGTCAGCTGTGGGCTGGCTCTGACTCAATGGGACACAACAACAACATATGGGAACCGAATTTGCCGTGTGATACTCTTCCTCTTTTGCACTCTAAAGAGTTTCTTAGCAGCAGATTTGTTCAATGCAATCCATCACTTTAAAGATAAAGATAACAATATATTTAAAGACTAAGCCAAGGTATTTTCAATTGCTCCATATGCACATAAAAGGCAGACAATGAATAAGAAGCCCAAAGAAGAACTGATGCCTTTGAATGAATGGACAGCCAAAAGAACGGACAGATCTGCCTTGGGAGAAGTACAGCTGGAGTGCTCTTTACAAGTAAGGAGGTAGAGACTTTGTCTCACATAGTTTGCACATGTGTGGGAGGCCATCCCCAATGGGTCTTGGCTCTGGCATGAGCAACCCCAACTTTTATTACACTTGTGCCTGTCTTGCACCAGGATGGGCTCTATTTAGGCCACCCTGCCCCTTCCTGGAAAAACACTTGCCTCATTGGTTCAGTTCCTGTTCCTCCTTCCTGCAAAGAATTGATATCCTAGGGCCGGGTTTCCATAGCAACCCCACCTACCATAAGACAACTTCCCGGTTTCCCTATAAAACCCTGTGTAATGAGGGTTGCAGAGTGGATTATATTTGGGGGTAGGGGATGGGGTTTGGGGAGGTGCAGGGGGGATTGTGTACCAATGAGGGAGTTTTTCTTTTGCTTTTCAAGGAGAGGAGCAAAAGGGGGAGGAGGGGTTTGTGCAGGGAGAAGGGTGCAACAATGAATGAATGGAATCGCAAAATCTCTGTAGATGTTCATTGAAATGAAAAATAAACAACCTAAATTAAAAAAAAAAATTTAAAAAAAAGAAATCTAATAAAATTCAACATTTCTGTATTAGCGGCAACTTCATTGAAGTGCTCCTACTTGCATATCCCAGAACTCTAATTGACCTAGTAAATAAATTCTATAGGTACAGTTAAAAAAAAATCTAATAAAATTCAACATTTCTGTAATTAAAAAAAAAAAACCTGTGTAAAAGCCAGAATAAATGAGACTTGATCAGAATGTCATCTTTTCTCCATTCTTTGCACCCCTTGTCCCTTTCTCAGCCCCACTCTCCCTCCTTCAGGCCCACGTTGAAGAACCCACTGGCCGGGGCACATATGTTATCAGGAAGGGCTACTTCTTGGGAAGGAGCATCACGCTTGGGAAAGTGGAGGGTCAGCAATAGAGAGTGTGAAAACTTTTAGTGAGGTGGACAAGTACAGTGATTGGGACAATGTGTAGGCGCTAACAATATAGCACCTAAAGAGAGTTTGCTGTGTAAATTTTTACCAAAACCAAAATAAAATATTTTTAAAAAATAACAAAGAAAAGGCATGCAGTGCTGAGTTTAAGTCCAAATTGAAGGGAAAAGTGAAATTCTCCTTGATCATGAGCTGGGGGTGGGACATTGTAATTGACTGTGGACTTGCTGGCTACAGTGTTTACAGGAAATGAGTATGGTTTGAAACAATATTTTATGTTTTACCGTAGGAGCGAAGATGCCCAGGTAGTAGTGTATAATGTATCAGGCTGATGATGGAAAGGTTGGCTGTTCAAATCCACCAGCTCCTTTGTGGAAACAAGAAGAGCAATCTGTAAAGACAGCCTCAGAAAGCTGATGAAAGGTCGTTGATGAGTAGGATTCAACTCAGTTATAGTGAGTTTACTTTGGGTTTTGCAGGAGAGAAGAAGCTTGGGTAGTGATGTTCACCAACAGGTTGGAAGGTGGAGTCCACCCAGAGGTGCCTTGGAAGAAAGGCCTGGTGATCAATCTACTTGCAGCAAGTCAGTCACTAAAGTCCCAAGGAACACAGTTCTACTTTGACACACACCTAGGGCGGTTGACTCACTGGTACAAATAGTTTTAGTGACAGTGGACTAAAAAGTCTAAAAGGATGTTCACGAGAACACAGCTAACTGCAAACAGACAAAAAAGCAACAACAATGGGGGATAGGAAGGCTCACTCGTGTCTCTTAGGACTTATGAAGAGTTCTGCAAAGCACAGAGCACCATGCTTCCTACACTACTTCTTTCAATGAAATTAGAGGATTTAGGAACCTTTCCCATGTATCTTATTATTGACATGTACTTCCCCCAAGTTACAACCACCATCACAAATCAAACTAGCTTCTTCCCCCCCAACATTTGTTTTATTTACTTTTGTTAAGAAAATGGAATATCAGCACAGTAGATGATCTTATAGAAGTGTAACTCTGTCCTTAAGGCAGCCATTAGTCATATATGACTAATTAAAATTATTAAAATGCAATAGAATAAACCAATCTGTCCCTGATACCACAAGCACATGGATCTGACAGTACAGTACAGAGAATATGCCATTCTTGATGTGTCTGTTGAACGGCACTCTTACGAGAAACACAAAACCACATTCTAGATGTCAATATTATGGTGAACCTTGGCACTTCAACTCTCCTCTGTAAAATAATATCTCTAAAAGAAGGGCATGTATAACGAGATCATCATGATGATGACATTCAGAGTGGAACAGACTCAGAAAAGCAGCTGTAGGTTGAACTACCACCCCTGGTTTCAGATGCAGATCTGCTACCCTCAGGCTGTGTCCCCCACAGTGAATTACCCAATCGCTCAGTGCCTTCCTGTCCCTGGCTGTTAAAGCAAACATCCAGATACCTACCTGGATTGGAACTGGAGCAGAACCAACAGGTTTGTGTGTGTCACAGCGCATCCTGACATTATGATTCTGAGAGATATACGTGTGTATTCACATTGTCACCAATGGAACCAATGTCACAGATTCAGAAAGAACTATACGGTTTACAGGCTGGTTAAGACTATGGAAAAAACAACTTGCATTCATGGATGCTAATGCTTCTGTTGATGATTGTACTTTGGGGTCCACCTCCAGAAGTCTTCAGTCCCCAGAAGTTACTTCTCCGTATTCACAAAAATTGGCTCCTTGGATGTTTGTTAACACCCTCCTACAGTCACAGTTAGGTTTATCTGAGACTCACAGATTAGAAAATGATTTTGCGTACTTGAGTACAACTGTAAGGTTACTAGGAGCCCTAGTGAAAGAATGTATCTGTTAATTAAAAGGTCAAGGGTTTAAAACTACCTCCATGGGAGAAAGATGCGGCAGTCTACCTTGGCCAACGTTTCAATTTTGGAAACCCTATGGGCCAGTTCTCCTCTGAGCAACTATGAGTTAGAGTCGAATCAATGGCAGCGGGTTTGACTTCTGAGCGGGGGAGGACTCGCCTGTTTCTCATCTCCTTGACCTACGGGGCACTTAAGCTCTCAGCTGAACTCCTCCTCTAACTTCGCCCAGAGGAGGTTCCCAGTTCCCTAGACTCAGTTGTGAGCACTGACTCATAGAGGCCCTGCTAGGCAGTGATGGGAATTCCAGGGGACATGCATCCACCGCAGGGAAGAGATCAGGTCTTGGTAACAGCTGGAAACTCCTGATAAGATACAGACACAGAAGGCAGCCAGACGGGCACTTATGCATTCAGCTGGGGCATGCTGGTTGTCTACCATCCCTTGGGAATTGGATGGGGATGCTGGACACCCCACAACTCCTGATCCAAGCAGGACGCTTCACTTTGCCATAGCCACTTTGCAATCTCTCTTTCCTATCGGCCTGATTCCTCTAGCATTTGAAGGCTATGTTGAGATGCATTCAAGTGTATCCAAGACCTTTTAAAGGTGCATGGATTTACTGTTGTTTTCTTCCCAGTGAAATGGGGAGGGCCACATTTTCCGCAGTGGAGTCTTACAGGATATTGTTGTAAACAACAGTAGCCACAAACCCTTGAACTTGTTGCTGCTGGATGTTGCTGACTCACAACCATTTCACAGGACAGAGGAGAGCTGCCTCCTAGTGCTTCCAAGCCTGTTTTTACCCAAGCAAACTGCCACATCTTTCCCCTATGGAGCGAGCCAGGGACATTTCCCCTAGCCGCTGAGATGAGTGCTTTAACCACTGCACCAGCAGGACTCCTTCACCGCCATGTCCACTCCAGGCGAGTGGACCCCGAATCCTCACTACCCTCCACCAGATTTCTGAGACTACAAATCTTGGCAAGAGGAGACTGATCATTTTCTCCCAAGAAACAGCTGGTGGACTCGAACTGCTGACCTTTTGCTCGGCAGTCCAACCCATTAAGCACAGGCTTGTTCTACTTCTCTGCTGGGAGAAAATGATAAATTTGAGACTAACCCCTAAGCATCATTGGCTAGACTTTGCCAGTCATTTGGATGGGCTGCACTTTTTAACATAAATGCTTTTTTGGATTAATTAGCAAAGCGGTGACAGAAGGCAGGCTTTATGTAGCTTTCCACCCACCCTCATCAAGCCCTCCCTTGTCCCAATCCCGTTTGCCCCATCCCTGGGGCCCCAATCCTGATAGGACTCATAGCCCAAGGCTGGGATATCTGGGGTATGAGGTTTCAGACGTGGATGGTGATGAGTGGAGGGATTCGGGGGGCTAAGGTGACAAGGGGAACAGAAACATGCTGGAGGGAATCCAGCTCACCTCTTGGAGAGCCACAGAGGGTGGGACAGAGGGGAGGGAAGGGCACTTGCATGGCAGGAGGTGACCGGACTGGGTGGGATTTATGGCACAAGACAAGGAGGGCGCCGGGGCGGTGGGCTTACTTGCGGAAGTGTATACAAGTGAACTGGGGGCACTGTACACGGAGGATCCCTCCTGGTTGGCCTGGCACAACAGCACCGTGCCTACGAAAGAGAGAGAGAGATGGCATCTGGTTTGGGAATAGGTACACTAAGCCTGAGCAAATACGGCAGCGCAAACGCGAAAGGCAGAGAAATGAACACACAAAGCCAGCCACACCCCAAAGCACAGGGCTGGGACGCCCAGGGAGAACCCCTATCTGATCCAAGGGGGTGAGGTTGAAACCCACCCCACAGCTCCCCCTACATGACATTGCCTTTCACGTGGGGATTGAGTCTATAGGCCTTGAGTCCGAGACACTGAGGCATCTGGCTTCCTGGAAAGGGTGCTCAGTAAACACCAGACAGAACTCAGTGCTAAACTTGCGTCAACCAGAGCTGTGTGGTCTTAGCCAGTCGCTGCACCTCCCCGTGCCTTTGGATTCCCATCTTGACAAGAGCAGCTTGTGCATACCTACCTCCAAGAAGACTGTGGGCTGTGTGGCTGGGGGCACGCACTACACGGGGCCTGGCATGTGGATGCCTTGTTAGATTTAGGGACAACATTTCCTCCAAGTCTAATCTTCCTGGGTCAGTTCCTTGAAGTACAGATATAAGGCAGGGAGGGAAGAGAGGCAGGGCCAACACCCACCCTGTACTCACGCAGGCCTCAGGCTGAGGCAGCTTTAGAGCGCACATTTTGCTTTTCTCCCTCAAAAAGGCCACATACCTCACCCTGCAGACTGGCTGCAATGCAGTAACGATACTGTCTCTGGGTCTGATTTAATGCAAAGGGCACTGGGCGCCTCCTTGCAAAAATGGAATTTTCCAGCGGGGCAGAGGGTGGAGTCCTGAGATTCCTCCTGGATCTCTGACAGGTTTCTAACAACCACCCGCTCTCAGGAAAGCCAGGCTCAGATGTTTGGGGGTATTTGTTCTTCTCTTCTGTGGCTGCAAGGCTCAACCCTCAAAGGCTTTCTGCAAAGACTCAGAAGGACTTTGTAGAAGTGCGAAGACCATCGCTGGGGATGGTTAATGGCTCCTGCAGTTCCTGTCCGCTTCCCTGAGCAGAGGCAAGGCCAAAACGCCTTCCTTTGCTTTTGGAATTCTTCCGTCACCACCAAACCCGCATCACTTCTCCCTTGAAAAGGAGGCTGTCTGAGGAGTATCATATCTATAGGATGAGAAACACCCTCTATTTTTGGAGACTTGTCCTAGAAACTCTTCAATCCTCCTGTAACTTTCCTATCATCAACAAAAGTGTAGCAGACACTTCCAGAGTATATGGGGTTGGGTCTAACAGAGGCCTGAGCTGGGGCAGTAATGCTATTATTTTGGGGTACAATCGAATCAGTTCTTATTCCTAATGACTTGATATACAGCAGAAAGAAATACTGTGTGGCCAGGAACCATCCCCCCAACCACTGTGTTTGAGCCTACTGCATCCATCCAGTTACTCTGCGCATGGAGAAGCTGCCTCTTTTTTTTTTTTTTTTTCCTAACCTTCCCCAGGAACACAATTAAAAGACAAAGATCCTTCCTGTACTGAAAAACTGAATTCTAGGCCACTGTGCTTCACACAGATGGTATCAGGGATGAAACCAGAATGGCCTCGTCATGTAAGGAGGCCTGAGAACGTCTGTTTAGCCATCTCTTCCTCATCCTCAAGCCAGCTAACTCTGACCAATCTTTCATAAGAAGTCTATCAGGGGCAAAAATTCTACCCTCTAAAGGAATGCCCCCTAGAGCTTTCACATTTAATCTGGGATGAGGATGAGTAGTTTCCAACTCACAAGCCATTCAGTTTTAAGTCATGATAAATCTATAGGACAGAGCAGAACTGGCCCATGGTGTTTCCAAGGCTGGAAAGTTTTACAGACAAACACTGCATCGTCTTTCTCCACTGGTGCGGCTGGTGGGTTTGAACTGCCAACTTTATGTTTAGCAACCAGACTCTGACACTATCACACCACCAAGGCTCCCTGTGCCTTGAAAGGGACAGATATGAGTGACCACTTTACAAATTTGCAAGCCTTCTTTGGGAAGAGCTTCCACGGACCTTGGTCTTGGGTAGCTTTTGCCAAACTGGTAATTATTCCTATTGTGTTTTAAACCTTCTAATGTTGTAATTCTTTTTACTATGTTTTAAAACTTCTAAGATTATCTTAAAACCAAGAAGATGTGAGCCTTCACTTGATCGAATTTCTCCTCAGTTATTGTGTATCCAGTTCTAGAGGGCAATTGGGCTAGTTTTCATGAGGAACAAGAAACAAATCGAACCACAGATGTTTAAGACTGGGGTATGAAAACCACTAGAAATGGGCACAAACGCCCCCTGGGAGGAGAGGTAGAACAGCTCCATCAAAGAGACCTCCTGTGAGCATTATGCTAAACGAACTAACTCAGTCCCATTAGGACAAATACTGTATAAGACCATTATTGTAGCATGTGTACAAGAATTCAAACAGGGGGAGCAGAGGAGTGAGGATGAGTGGGAGGTGGGGGGGGGTTAATCAGAGTATCACACAATTTGATGAGTGGAGGGAGGTGGGTAAAAGAAATGGGAAAGACCCGGTGTGGGAAAAAAAAAAGTATACCAACTTTGTAAGTAAACTTTTGTAAGTAAAAAAAAAGTATATATAAAATAAAAAAAATTATTTAAAATCCTCAAAACATCCAAGTCTTCCTGTGTGACTACGATGCCCTCATTCCAATACATTCTGTTCACTGTGCAGTGGAAAATTAACATCCCACTGGATGTTCAAGGCTCAATCAAATTAGAATCTTATAAGGTGAGGCAGAGCTGATAGTTTCTGAAAACACTTGTTGGGCTTGTTACGTACCCATGAGCCAACACTGACCTCACGGTCATTTTTATGAGAGCAGACTGCCAGATCTTTCTTCCAAAGGGACACTGACGAGGTGGATCTGAGGAGCTCTGACTGCCTGATGGGTAAGGAGCTGGGCTGCCAATCCAAAGGTAGGCAGTTCAAAATTCACCAGCGGTTCTGTGGGAGAAAGATGGGAGATCTCCCACCATGAGATTTACAGTCTCTGAAAAGCCACTGGGGGGTCGGCTATGAGTCGGTTCCAACTCCATGGCGATGACTTGAGTTGGAATCTTTTTGATCCACTGCCGAACACTTAAAGCATTGTGCCACCAAGATGCCTTCTGCCTTCTACTCCTGGTTAAAATTTGGTTTCTCAATGGCATTTAATGTTTTTCAAGATGTATAGATTTTGATAGATTAAAAAAAATAACTGTAGCAAAAATATATGCAGAAGGGCATTTTGTTATTGTACAGTTAAACCTTTGGTACAATTCTCTACTTTCTCAGTGCAATTTCTAGAACCTCACTGGGACAAAACACAGATTCTCTCTAGAAAATGAAATTCTATGAAATTCTAGCAACGTATAATAAAGCTTCCCTAATTTTCATAGGCTGTGGATCCTCAGAAACTGGGCTGAAATGACTCCATTGACTCAATACTTAAAAAACCCACACATATCTTTAGGCAATGATTTTGACCTTCCGTAAAGCAAAGTCTACACAGTCAGAGGACTTGGTTTTTACTTCACCCAAAAACATCGTTCAACTTAATTTGCAAAGTACTTATCATATGTTCTTGTTGTACACTGTGACCTTTCCTTCAAAGGGATCCCCAAATTAAATAACATGGCAGGACGGAATACTGTAACCTCCATGAAAAGGGTTGGGGGGAAGTAATAGGTGTTAATCTTAAAAATTAGGTCACCTAGTTAATAGAGTACAGGGGTGTTTGCAAGGTCACTCAAGACATTTTCACAATTTAGTACCACCTGAGCCCTCCAAAGAGTCTACTAAAGTAACTCTCCTCCTTTTCCTGCTATACAACATCTACCTCCAGCTGTCATGAGTTCTTTATCACCATGTAATGTCCATACTTCTCAGACTTGTGGACTTTTGCTTATGAAGCACCTTATAATTTAAGAGTGGCAACTGGGCAATATAAACTACCATCCACCCATTCCTTAGCCAGGACAGACATTACTAATCTATTTCAATATTAACTTTTTCTAAAATAGTCCAGAACCCTCAGAATACTTTCGTACCAAGACTTCTGGGGAGTTACTCTTATTCAGCGAGAGTTGCTGAAAAGGATGAAACTATGATGCCATCTCTGCTCTTACTATCAGGATAAACTACATGAGATTGACCTCGTTTGAAGTGGAGTGTTATATCAGGATGCTAATCCAAAGGTTGGCAGTTCGAATTCAACAGCTGATGCATGGGAAAAGATGGGCTGTTCCTCCCATAAATATTTACAGCTTTGGAAACTTGATGGGCGGCCACTATGAGTTGAAATTGACTTAAGTCAGTGTGTTTCTGAGTAAGTAAGATAAGTAACATGTTGTGCTGCTAACTGAAAGGGGGTTTGAACTCGCTACCAGCTGCTCTAAAGATTTACAGCCTCTGAAGCCTGATGGAAGGTGTCCATGAGTCAGAACTGACTCAGTGACAGTGGCTTTTGTTGCTGGGTTTTTATGTCAAATACAGGTGAGTAAACATTGGTAATTTAATGTAGATTAACTGAGTAAGATTACTTCTCCAAACTCTTCTCTATTTTAAAAGTTTCTCCAGGGAGCTCTGGTGGCCTAGTGACAAGAAGCTGCACTGCAATCCCAGAGGGAAGCGATTCGAATCCACCAGATGCTTTGCTGAAGAAGGAGGGGCAATCTCCTCCTGTACCAGTCAGATCTGATTTGATGGTACACACATAAAAAATAATGATGATAAATAATCATAATGATGATGATGATAATAATTTAAAAAATGAGAATCTTAAAAAAAATCCCCTCAGTTTCCAAATGCCCCTTCAAAGCAAATAAAACCTCCAAATGTATTGATTTTGAGCCCACTGTGACTCAAAGTCATCTTCTAAGGCAGAGTCTAACTGCCCCCTTGGGCTTTCAAGGCTGTCAATCTCTGCAGAAGCTGACTGTCACATCTTTCTCCTGCAGCAGGAATGGCGGATTCGAACTACAAATGTCGTGGTTAGCAGCAGACTGACTGACTACTACTCTA